TCTCCCTACTCAGTGATCTCGTCCCAAAGCAGCGCTTCCCTGGCTTCCTCAACCGGAACAAGTTCGGCTACCACTGTGACTTCAAGGGCATACTTCGGCGTATCGACAGTGTTTGGAACGTCAATAACCTGCTGCGATAACTCTACCATCATCGGCACGACTACTCTTTGCAACTACCAAGTTGACTTCTGGGAAAAAAAATTGGGCCCATTCGTAACGACTTCCATTCCGATTCCCGCTTCCGCAACTCCAATTTTGATGCCTGGAACGTCGATCATAGTCAGCAGTGCGACTCTTCACGCATTCTATTCCTCTCTCGCCTCTCAGATAGTTGTTTACGCGGCCAACTTGACGTCACGACGTCCGCAATATCACGGAATCGTTCAATCCCTACATCCACAGCGTCTGTAACAGCGACACCGCTGGGTGTCGATAGCGGTCTGCTAGGAGTACTCAAAGGTGGTACAAGCGCCGGCGAGGCAGAGCAAGCACTATCGACAGACTCTGCCACTCCAACATTAATGTTGACAGCAGACATTAATCTCGTGGGATTAAATCAAAGTGCCGTATGTACCGGAGAAGCCACGCCACCAAACCCAACTCTCGCTTGCACACAATACTTCTTCTACCCCAACGACGGACCGAACGCCTTCCTCTGCTTATGTAACGACGGCACTTGGACTCACCGCGTCAAACAAGACAGCTACTCGTTGTGCCCCAGCCAAGTCACAACCGTCAGCATGAAAGTAGCCTACTACGCAGAAACCACCGTTCCACCTAGCGTCTCATGCACCCTCGTCTATTGCGATCCCTGCTCGGTAGACTACCATCCTTTCTACGAGTGTTCCAATGACCTGTTCTTCGCGGGTGCATGTCCGAGCTCGGTATCTGCCGCTACAACTAAGCCCACTCTCAGCGAGCCGCTCGTTAGCGTAACCGCAGTTCTCACGAAGGGAGAACTTCATCGTGCCAGCTACGACTTCACTAACTTCACTTCTCTCGCTCACAACGAGTACGTGCGTACCGCAGTGTATGAAGCATGTGGAGGAGCACGGGCTGCAGGCTTCACAGTTTGAGGCTACGTGTTACTGTGACCCGGCTTGTGGTGGTAATGCGCACCCTAAGCTGGGTGCGAATAATGCGTGCCCGAACCAAGTCGATGTTGTGAGTTAAGGAATAAATCGTATCTAGAAACGGGTAGTCGCTTCAAGACATTCGATCAGGCAGCAATTAAAGCGACGTCAAGGGCCTACGCGAAGAAGGTCAAGTAAGCACAATTCATGTCGGAAACTACACGCTCATTCAATAAGGGATGGCATGATCTCGATCGATGGCTACCTCAAAGCGGACGCTATAAGCTACGAGGCATGAATGGTAGCTGAACGATTGGAGCGTGCTTACTACTCTAAGACATTCCGTTTGACAAAACGTGTCTACTGTACTTATGATTTCTTGGTTTCATTCTCTGCCTCAGTGATGGAATGTAGAGAGTGGTGAGGGTGCTGAGCAATTAAGCTATTGAAGAACTGACCTTCTGAAGCGCTGGAGTTCTGTTGTCTTGACGTCGATGTTTGGGCAATAACTTCTCCAAACGGGTTTTTTGTAATTACAAACGGTTGGCAAAGAGCAGTCAACAGCGGGGAAACCCTTCCATGAGCAGAACAGAACAGAAAAGAAGAGAGAAGACGAACCAACAAAATGAACGAACCGCTGGTCCGAAGTTCCCAATCCGCGGCTGACAGTCCGACAGTGATGATCGTTCTCACAAAGAACCATCAAAGTTTAATCGTATGGCTCAATACGTGTACCTGATGCAGGCCGACAGACTTCAGTCGCTTTCCATCGGCACTTGATTATTACGAGCGCCTTGCTTGAACGGCTAAATCCTTTGATAGAAAAGGTATCTTACAATATGAAAGAAAGATGGAAGTAGCAAGGAAGTCTGATGAGTTGAAATTCAAAATCGGAAATTCAAGGCCATTAAACAACTGTGACCGATCCGATTCTTGCGTGCTTTCTCCTGTACGAAACTCTTGGCATAGTGTAGATGACCCTGAGTATCTTTAATATAAAGACTTCGTTAGAAAACCACGTGGCAGTATCTCTATAAGGATTTACTCGTAAAGGTTGTCGATAGAGAGGTGTGCGATTTGTCGATGCCAAGAATTGTCAAAGTTTTTGCATACGCTAAATATACGTATCTTCTCACGAGTGAGATCAAAATTTAGGCGCCTGATCATCTCGAGTCGCTCACGTTTCAGCAACATCGAGCAATATTGAAACAAACAAACTCTAGAGATCAGGCACGAACTACTGCTATTTACTTCCACACCGCGAACTTGCTCAACTCTTCATTGCTCGACGGTGCTTTTTACCAGACACATGGCAATGTCAAGGATCATCCCCCACCAAGCACATTTCCAACGTCCACAATCTGGTTGACAGCTGCCTTTGGTTTGAGAAGCTGCTCGACTCTTGCTTCATCCGAGATACGAACAAGATGTCTATGAACTTCGTGACCTTCAATCAGGACTACAGCCACTTGGCTGTGGGTGAGTCTTCAATGCTTTAGAGATCTCCGGGCCATGCTAACATCTAGTCTTCAGGAACCTCGAGAGGATTCCGAATATACACTACAGACCCATTTGAGAATGTCTTCGAGACAAAGCTGGGTGACATCGCGTTACTGGAGATGCTCTTTTCAACATCGTTAGTTGCCCTTATACTTTCACCACGAAGACTGCAGATCACAAATACCAAAGTACGTCCTCGTATCCTCACATTGCATCATTATGTGATTGGCAAACAATACGAGGACGACGAGCATCGTCTTAGGCTTGCCTGTCCGGTCGCTAGAAGGGCCATGCTGACCATTTCTCACTTCTTGCAGAGGCAGTCGACAATATGCGAGCTCACTTTCCCCACCACAGTGTTGGCTGTACGAATGAATAGGAAGCGGCTGGTGGTCATATTAGAAGACCAAATATATCTATACGACATAAGCAACATGAAGCTGCTGTACACAATTGAGACTTCTCCAAACCCAAACGGTATGTGTGGCTAACCCAACCTCTTGTCCATATCTTCTAATACCTGCAGCTATATGCGCTCTGTCACCTTCCTCGGATAACTGCTACCTAGCCTACCCTCTCCCACAGAAAGCAGCGCCCTCATCCTTTGCTCCTCCGTCCCATGCGCCACCAGGCGCTACACACATTGCTCCTACCAGTGGGGACGTCCTCTTGTTCGACACCCTAAAGCTCGAAGCGATCAATGTGGTAGAAGCACATCGCTCACCTCTATCATTCATCACTGTGAATGACGCCGGCACCCTTCTCGCAACAGCCTCTGACAAAGGAACTATCATCCGAGTCTTCTCCATTCCTTCCGCGCGCAAGCTTTACCAATTCCGCCGCGGCTCCATGCCCTCTCGCATCTATAGTATGTCTTTCAATACTACCTCTTCCCTCCTATGCGTATCCTCCGCCACCGACACAGTGCACATCTTCAAGCTAGGAGCGCCTCCGCAACGCCGCAACGGAGACGAGTCGTCGATGCTCTCTACTTCGCCAAGCCAACGCGAACGAAGCATCAGTCCAGGTGGCAGTGACTCTCAACTTGATCTCACGCGGTCTGCAAGCAATGCCTCTGATTCAGTCTCCACGAAGGGAAGAAACCACAATGGATCATTGCTAGGCATGATCAGGCGGACATCCCAAAATGTCGGTACAACTTTTGCAGCCTCCATGGGCGCATATCTCCCATCCGCCGTATCAGAGATGTGGGAACCGGCTCGAGACTTCGCTTGGTTGAAGATACCCAAAGCTCCACCAGCAGCACAAGGTGGGGTTCTTTCCTCGAGTGCTCCACTACGGAGTGTCGTCGCCATGAGTAGCAACAGTCCACAAGTCATGGTCGTCACAAATGAAGGGCACTTCTATGTATTCGGCATTGATTTGGAAAAGGGAGGGGAAGGGACTTTGGTCAAGGTGTATGAGATTGGGGGCGAGAGCGAGCGACTGGGGGCTAGCGTCATGGATGATTGATGGAATTCGACGACTTTCCTATTCCCGAGCATATCGCGTTTGAGTGGGATGGATACCTTGCTGGCATGTCTTACTAGTGCTCAGATTTCCTGTAACATAAAAACATACAGCAGACCTCGGTCATTTGGTCATCGCGCCAGTGGCAATTGGAGATGCCAAAATGCTGATCATGTCATGTATCCAGTAGGACCCATAAAATTGCAGCGTGTGGAGTTGGTCGAAGTTATAATTATCAAATTATCACGAGTGTCTCGACTCCTGGTGAACGCCAAGGCCGAGAGTTGCGGCAGCTCATAGACGCTAGACGAGCAAGACGAGCAATCCTTCATTTCTCATGGCAGAATATGCATGTCTGTGGTTAAACACAACTTTCAGCGCACATACACACTCTGCGAGGTCTTTGCCAACGTTTGACTTTTAGATCATCGAGCTGCCGGAAGCAGCTACTCCCTATTACAAAGCTACCTCACGCGATTCGAGCATCATTGAGCTTTACCACCCTCACGCGACGTCTCAATCAACCAAGCGCATTTTCCTTACACTCAACCTGTCACTCACCTTATCATTGACCTCCTCGAATTGAAGCGAGTATGGATTCGAAGATGGACGTGGACATAGGCAAATTGCCAGAGCCCCACAGACTCTCGCCAGCAACAGAGCCTGCGTCCATACCAACGCTGGATGGGTGGATAGAAAGCTTGATGAATTGCAAGCAGCTGGCGGAGAACGATGTGCAGAGACTGTGTGATAGGGTACGTCGAAGAGTCTCGAGGTGCATAATATGCATATTTGGGCTCCAAGGCTGACGTTGCACTTGGGTAGGCTCGCGAAGTGCTACAGGACGAGTCAAATGTCCAACCAGTGGTACGTACACGATAGAGAGCCAGATTTGTTTCAGGTGTCCCGTCATGCTGATATCTTGCTGAAGAAATGCCCGGTCACCGTCTGCGGTGACATACACGGCCAGTTCCACGACCTGATGGAGCTCTTCAAGATTGGTGGACCAAATCCCGACACTAACTACCTCTTCATGGGTGACAACCAGATCCCCGTATAATAGTTTTCTCCCCATGCTGACGCGTATGTATTCAGGCGATTACGTTGACCGTGGCTACTACTCCGTCGAGACTGTTACCCTCCTTGTTGCTCTGAAGATTCGGTTCCCCCAACGTATCACCATCCTGCGGGGCAATCACGAATCACGTCAAATCACTCAGGTCTACGGCTTCTATGATGAGTGTTTACGAAAGTACGGCAATGCCAACGTCTGGAAATACTTCACCGACCTCTTCGACTACCTACCTCTGACCGCTCTAATCGACAACCAAATCTTCTGCTTACATGGAGGCCTCTCGCCAAGCATCGATACTTTGGACAACATCAGAGCCCTGGACAGAATCCAAGAGGTGCCACATGAGGGCCCAATGTGTGATCTGCTTTGGAGCGACCCTGATGACAGGTGCGGTTGGGGAATAAGCCCTAGAGGTGCAGGCTACACTTTCGGACAAGATATTTCAGAGGCATTCAATCACAACAACGGCTTGACTCTGGTGGCGAGAGCACATCAACTTGTGATGGAGGGTTATAATTGGAGTCAAGATAGAAACGTCGTTACTATCTTCTCAGGTACATCTTAGTACTGGTTCTTCAGCTTGCTGGTGCTAACCCCTTTCACAGCGCCGAACTACTGCTATCGTTGTGGAAACCAGGCTGCAATAATGGAGATTGATGAGCACCTGAAGTATACCTTGTGAGTACCGTTCAAGCCACATGCTCGGCCACATACTGACAGTATGCAGCTTGCAGTTTGACCCATGTCCAAGAGCGGGAGAACCCATGGTCTCAAGGCGAACCCCTGACTACTTTCTCTAAAGCAAATAGACTGGGACCTGGCATTACCATCCGTGCAACAGCTAATACCTTTGGTGGATCAACGAATGTTGTACGGTCAAGACTACGTCTTCACGTCTCCTATTGCATTTCGTGTTGCGACGATCAGGCATCAAGATCATCGCACACATTTTTCCATAGATTTAATGACCTTAGAGATGACCGCTCTGATCTTACTTTGTTCCAGAAGAGCTAAGTTGAAATGTACTCTACTCTTTGATGAACACGCCAATTCAGCGCGGTTGAGAGTATCTACCGCCAAGGCTACTTCAACCTCCAATGTCAGTCGTATCTGCAGCCATCCCACCTTCTCTATATTTCTTCTCCATTTTACTCGCTAGCAAAATACGTACAAACTCAACAAACGTAACGGAGCTATGAAAACAAAGAAGCCTCTCCCTTCGATTTCATGCTCACTTGATTTATATATTTCTATGGATCATGCCTTCAGCTAACCGAACTCCATTACGAACAGGTACACTAAGATGTCCGGCTATCAGCCCAGATCAGCCGCTGAGCGTTCAAGAGTTCCTCCATAGTTTGAAGAAGTCGACGCGCCCGTTTCCCACACCGAAACGCTCGGAGGCACCGCAAGACAGTACATTCACAAGCTGTCAATTGACCGTTGATGGCTTTCTCCATGGTATGCAAAAGACAGTGACTCCGCCTTATAAGCCCGTTGAGGCTGGTAATGCCCCAAAGCTTCAATCGATAGCTTCACCAGGCCATCAAGGCTTGCCATTCGTCTGCTCAGGCCGAGGTCTCTTGGACCCACCCGAGACTATCCCCGATCAGTCAGATGGCGAGCAAGTACTCAGCCCATCACCAGACACTCAAGGACTAAGATCTCCCGAACCAAAGGGCTCAGATGAGAAAGACGCATCGATGAAGATCCCAAAAGTCGTTCGCACGTACGCAAAGAAAACCAAGCCTGTAACGCCGGTATGGGATGACAGCTCCGCCTTATTTCTGACTCAATATTCCATGCACGAGGAAGCTCTGCTCGATGGACTTCTCGATGATGGGTCATATACCTCGACAGAACAACTGGCCTCCAGGGAAATCTTGAAAGATAAGCCTGGGAGGAAGCACCCCTCAGTAGTCCCCTCGAAGCGCAAACGAATGCCTACGCAAGACTGTGAGGAGGACCCTAGAGAGAACCACAGTGAGGATGATGCGGACGTTGGGATAAAGGAAAAGGAAAAGATAAAGAAGACTAGGCGAAGAAAGCGAAGGGCACCGGTCAACGAACTCGCACTGGTGACAAAATTTCCGTCTCATGAAGAATCTCCGGCACCACCGGCGAAAGCTCCGGTGAGAACACCTTTTGCGTAATTCCATAAGCCCAGTCTATTGCTAATTTCATGAAGCAGAAAGCGTACGATTCCGATAACGCCATCGACTTGCTGAATGAATATCTTGATGGACAAGGCTTTCCTGCGTCCACTTCGCCAAGTTTTGAAAGGGGCCGAAAGTCAATAATAGCCAACATAAGGAAGCCAGTGACAAGGATTCGCCGAGAAATCACCCTACCACAGCGAGAGATCCTGGCTCGAGAGGGTTTCAAGTTCCCACCCATCACACCGAGAGCTACGAAATCGCCGGGTTGGAGATTGGGAAGCGGCTTCGATGGAATTACACTGGAGTCATCCACGAACAAAATACCGCAGACCTCGCGTAATCGGAAACTTAGACATGCGAAGACTCCTTGTTTTGTAGGGCGGTCTCTTCCAAAACTTGAATTGTCGGCTGGATTGTCACCAACTCGTTACTCTGTTGGTCAGAAGGGCATCCCAAGGAGGCGGAAAGATCAAGGCAATCCTGCTAAAACCAAAGGGTATGAGCCAGCCATGAAGCTTGGTACAGCTGATGGCGCCGTTGAGGATGGCCTACCTCATAGCGCAATCAAGACTAGGGGAAAAGTCTCTTTTGAGAAGGTGGCCGGCTTGACTTTGACCGCTCTACCACGCCCATCAACAGAGATTGATCGGTTCCAAACAGCGTCTCCTTCCCAACGTAACGATGTCATCAAGGATCCTGTTCAACTGCACCAAAGCCCGACCAGGCATCTAGATGCTAGCCAGGCAATCCGAGAGCCATCAAATTCAGAGCGCAAAGGCTGGCTAAAGCGCAGAGGGGTCAATTCTGCTGTCGCTGACGAGGATGGAGAGGAAGAGCAGCTGTTCGTAGATACTCAAAGAACCTCCGGCAATGTTAGTGAAACTGGGAAGAGAAAGTGGAGAGCTGACTTGGATACAAACCTTGAATATACCGCGCAAGCACAGCATGTCGTGCACAATAATTCGCAGGCTTTTAATGAAGAAGGCAATCAGATCCCACCAAACCCTGAACGACCTGGCAACAGTGGACAGCAAGATATGTTTCAAGGCGAGCAGAGCGCCGAACGGCATCGGTGTCGAGCTTTGCATGATATAGAAAGACAACCTCTCAATTCAGAAGAGGAGACTCTTGGCCATCAAAGCTCCAGGTGTCCTCCAGAACCACCATCGTTTTCGAAGTCCGAAGCTGACTTTCCAAACTCGCCATTACACGCCAAAGACCTGTCAATGCCAAAAGCAAGGCCCCATATCGAGGTTCTAAGGACCTCTGAGGTTCCAGAGACACAAGAGAGACCCCAAGAGTCTATAGAATTTGATCATACGGGGATCGAATTCTTGGACCTGGGCCGACACCCATACCACATACCAGAAAGAACTCACGACTCCGGCAAGTATTTCTCGAAAGCTGTTCAGCAACTCGAGTCCCCGGAAGAGGTACCACACACCATTACGCGGCGCAAGTCACGTCGAGAGCCGGAACCAGGTGTGACAGGAACGCAGGTGATGTTTGGAACGCGAACAGGGGCACATCACGTCAATGTGGCTCCCATCACTGGCGAAGAGGAATCTCGGAAGCAGGAAGGAAGTTTGGAGTTGGGCGTGACGTCGAGGCTGAAGAGGACGATGTCTAATGTGGCATTAAGACCGCCATTCAAAGAGCCTTTGCGATGACTCGGCGGTGATGGAACACATACAACGAGCGTTGCTTGATGTGCTACTATAGCCACTCCACCTCGCTAGATTTGAAGGGCGGCACGTGCAACCATTTCGAGGGCATTTTCATTTCTAATTGCGTGCGCTCTGCTGATTGAGACTAAGGCTTGATGTAAAAGTAGCTCGCTCTCTTAAGATGTTTCCAGTGTTCCAATCTTCTTAGTGTCGAGCAGAGGCTTCCAATCGAACAATATACAAAGCGAAAGGCCAAAGTTTCTATTTCAACGCTCTCAACGCTTTCGCTCCGGCCACTTCAACCTTCTTTCCAAGATCCTTCTCCCACTGCAATCGCTCTTGCCCGTCAGTAGGTGGTTCAAACGGAACCTCCACGGCCCGGGCCCAGACCCTCAGCTTCCTCTCTGCAGCCGCCGCGACTTCATCGACGATCTCAACATCCCACCCATCGATATCCCGGTCATCAAAACTCCGAGTCGCCAACCAGGAGCAATTGCCCCCGAGCTGTGTCCCATTCCGTGCGAGGCTTCGAGTCGCGACGCGAAAGGTCTCGGGGGAGTAGGACCAAATCTCGCAAGCAAGATCGCGGACTCGAACCAAAGCCATGTATGGGTTGTTCGGATCAATGGCGAGAGCACTGAGTTGGGTGTTTATCTGCAAGTGTTTTAAGGCCATGAAGGGTTTTAAGGTCTTGGCGACGTCGGAGTGCTAATCTTTACGTTAGCCATCGCTCGCTCGTCACACTCAAATCTTGCGCCTGTGAAGTGGCTCGCTCACCCCTGTGATGTCTGTCTCAGTCAGGTCGAGCTCTGGTGAGCGGAGATGAGGGCAGTAGCTCCAAATTCTGAGGATGACGTGAGATGGAATACTGGACTCGCATTGCGGGACTGGCTGGTCGGTGCGCCAGAGCAACACCGCGTGTTCGAGATTGTGGATATGTAGCTTTCGAATAGTATTCCCATTGCGCTTAACGAGAACTCCAATAATTGCACGTGAAATGCCCAGAGATTCCAATTCCAGCTCCTCGAAGTCGTGACGTTTGCAAAGAAAGGATTGTGGTAAAACGCGTTCAGGGACCGATGACCATGGATGCGTATTCCATCTTGGACCCCGGATGATGAGCTGCGACAAACTTCATTTCAGGAAGCCCCAGTAACAGGTGCCAATTTGTGCACGCAACCAGGGTAAGGCTCCGAAGGTTATGTACACTCAAGTGGAACTGTAGCCCTCTCATGTCGGAATCGAATCGGTAGCACTCCAGAGAAAGCCATTCAATACGTGGTAACCGCTCCTGTGGATCCATATCAATCTGGTCGACGAAGCGACTCTTTCGGCCTCGTGCCTGATACAGATGGTCAAAGATTTCATGTTTTGTTGCCTAACAAGAAGCTTCTTTTGATAGAACATCAGCTCCGCAAGCTGTTCTGCTTTGACATATTGGCGCTGCCTAAAGTCGATGGCTAGCTCTGAAAGGCTGGGAGCAGCCTCAAGGTTTTGGAGGTACTGGCGCTCTTCCTTTAGACCCAGCACGTGAAGAGAGCAGCTCGATTAGACAATCTTGGATGATTGTAAAGCGCTACGATCAGTGCTTGCGGCATTGGCTCAGGAACTTCCCATCTGCGACTGTTTATCAGAAGAGGGCCGAGCATTTTTCATCATCATGGAGGGACACATACCTGAATGAATTCAGCATTGGAAGCGATGGGACAAGCCTAGTAAGGAAATCCAACACGCCTAGTCCGAGACGACGTCGGGAATTGTCTCCTTCAGTAGACGAGATCTTGATGTTGAGATTTCGTACGTGACGGAACACAGGCCGTCCAAGTTCGGTCTCCAGAATCCTTTCTAATAGGCGAGCGGTCAGGACCGTTTTGCTGGGATCAAAGTCAGGGGTGAGCGAGCAGTACAACCATGGCGTTGCGGCAACGTTCCACAAGACTGAAATCAGTGCGGCTGAGAATAGATCTGATCTCGTCCTGCTGTGATAAAGCTATCAGAGTGTAAGCAACTCTTCAAGGAACTGAAGTCGTAGGCTCTTACCTCTGCGCACACTGTGAATGCGGTGTCCTGGTCCATTGTAACTACTGCTGGTGAAGGGTCAATGGTGTGGTTTGGAGGGGCAAGTAAGAGATGTGTCCCAGTGCTTCTGGAGTGTCCTGAAGGGTAGATACAGGTCGAATGAGAAAGTTGAAGCAAAAGCAGAGTAGGTCTTAAGTATACGTGAGGCATGCAAGTTAGAAGATTTGCTGCAAATTTAGGAGGGCAGACGTTGAGAGCATCAACACTTGCAACATGCTCGGATTAGTGACTCGAGAACAGCCTTCAAGGTTTAAGCATTCTGGGAATGCAGTTCAAGCGAAAAGTAGATAGGGTTTTAAAAATTATAAAAAAAAAAATTTTTTAAGAACCTCCCCTTAAAACCCCCCCCCCCCCCAGGGCTAGGGCCCTTGGGGGAGGAACCCCCCAAAAAAAAACCCCCCCCCCCCCCCCAAAAAAATTTAAAAAATAAATAAAAAAAAAAAAAAAAAAAAAAAAATATTAAATCTTAAACACCCTCAAAAAATTATATAAAAAAAAATTTAAATAAAAAAAAAAAAAAAAAAAAAAAAAAAAAAAAAAAAAATAAAAAAAAAAAAAAAAAAAAAAAAAAAAAAAAAAAAAAAAAAAAAAAAAAAAAAAAAAAAAAAAAAAAAAAAAAAAAAAAAAAAAAAAAAAAAAAAAAAAAAAAAAAAAAAAAAAAAAAAAAAAAAAAAAAAAAAAAAAAAAAAAAAAAAAAAAAAAAAAAAAAAAAAAAAAAAAAAAAAAAAAAAAAAAAAAAAAAAAAAAAAAAAAAAAAAAAAAAAAAAAAAAAAAAAAAAAAAAAAAAAAAAAAAAAAAAAAAAAAAAAAAAAAAAAAAAAAAAAAAAAAAAAAAAACTTCACTTAGTTAATCTCAATTATCTACTCTTATATTAAGAGACTATTAATATACTTAAAGCTTTTAAGACTTTTTTATTAGCGACTAGAATTACTATAATTACTAGTTAAAAAGATATAGTATAATATGAAATATTAATCTACTATATTATACTCTAAGATAATATAAATTATTAAGATTTATAGAATCTTATATCTAATATAATATAAAATCTTAGCGATATATATTACGATATAATATATCTATGAAATTATATTATAATATAATATATATATAGAATATCTTAGTTGAGATTTCTATATTTATAAGTAATTATTTTAACTACTATTTTAATTAATAACTACGCTAAATTAATAAGATATAAAATTAAATTTTATTATATTTTATTACTCTATATATATAAAAGAAAGCGAGTTATATCTATTAGTAATAAGAAAAGCTTATCTTTTTCTAATATTAACCGCGCGAAATCCGCCGATACTTCGTAATTAAAGTCGTTAACGATAATTTTATACGTCTATTACGTATTTTTAATATCGCTATCTAATATAAAATTATGCGTATTATAATTATAACCTTTTTATTAAATCGCCGATCTAGAAAAGTTAATATATTTTTTAATATTCTCTCGAAAGTATTATAGCTTAATATGATAAGCTATATTTCTCTAAGCTATCTTCTCGCGATATATAAAAAAAAGGTTAGATATAGAAAGTATATAAAAGTATATTTAATAATTCTAGAATAGATTAGCGATATCTATAATAATAATTAAAATTAAGAATTAAATATACTCGAATAAGAGATAGCTTTATATTACTCGTATAATAGCGATAGTAATAATTAAGATTAAAATATCGACTTAGATAATATAGCTTTTATAATAAGCTTTTTATTACTATACGCTAGATTAATTATATATAAATAAAAATTTATAATTCTATCTTCTAGACGTAATCGCGTTTAATATTTTAAGATTTTTATAATAGCTTAATACTTATTAGTTAGCGCGTTAATATTATTATATCTAAACTATAATAGTATTTATTATTAAGTTCTATATTATACTCTCGAATAGCTTAAAAGATAAGATTTATTTAATTATCAACGCGTATAATAGAATTATTTTTAATACTTATATTTTATTTAGCTTCGATATTATCTATTTTCTTCTAATTCGAGCTTTCGTCTTTATTTATATATATAATAATTCGCGTAATAAGTAAAACTTTAGACTTCTTCGTAATTACGCTCGCGTATTTTTCTTATATAATACTATTAAAATATAAGTTTATTAGAATAATAATTAGAATTAGAAATTACTTATCGCTTATCTATTATATCTTATCTAATTTATTTAAGAGCTTACTTTTATTATAATAACGATATATTAATATACTTAATTTTACGCTTTTTAATAATTATAGTATAATTAATAACTAAGATATCGATTTTCTTTACTTTCTTAACTAGTTTCTCCTTAGACGTAAATATATTTATTCGCTATCGCGATCTCTTAGTATTTTTATTTTAACTAAGTTTATTCTCTATTTTTCGTTTTAATTAAGAGTCTAGTCGTTATTTAATTAACTTATATCGAGACTCTTTAATATCGCTATCGTTATTAATATTTAATATTTATTATAATAAATTATTAGACTTAGTCTCTTCTACTTTAATTACTATAAAAAGATAAATTAATAAATATATATAAAAGAATTAAAGGGCTTATACGGATATCTACGAATATTAAGCTATTCTTAATTTTAATTAAAGCTCGTTTTATTAAAAAGTGCGTTAATTCTAATAAGTATCGATATTAGAAATAAAGAGGATATATATCACGCGTTATTATAAGTGTATTATTATAGAGTTTAGCTTAAAGAATAATTATTTCTATAAAAATAATAAGACTTAAAGATAAGAAAGTAAGAATAAAATACGCGAAAATTTTAATAAGTTATAATAATTTAGCGCTAATTAAATTAGATAAAGATAATCGCTTATTAACTTACTCTTTTAAATCTTTTATTTTTTAATTTATACGAGTTATAATAATAATTATAATTATTATAAAAGTAGCTAAGATTATATTAGATAATAATATTTAATAAGCATAATTCGCTTAAGCTTAAATCTTTAAAATTAAAGAGAAAACGTTTTATTAATATTTGATTTAAGCTAGATAATATAAAGTAATCTAAAAATTTAATATACGCGATAGATATCTAAGCTTTTCTTCCCCCTTCTTCTTCTCTAAGACTTTCTTTTTTATATTAATTCTTCTTATTATTAGATTATCTTCTTTATATATTAGACTTTTATTTAAATAACTTAATATTATTATAGTTATATTAAAAGTATAATATAATTATTAAGTCGTATATTTATTTTTTATCTTTTAATAATTTTAAGCTAATACGTAGATAGATCGCGTAAAGAGCTTAACTTATATACGCTTAATCTATCGTTAATAGCTTTTTAAAAAAGTTAATATTATTTTAGAGTATTAGACGTAGCGTTAAAGTAAAGTCTTTATTAGATATCGTTATTACTTTAATCGCTATCGCTATTACTTTAATAGATATCGCTTTTACTTTAATAGATATCGTCTCTACTTTAGTAGTATTAAAGCGTTAATAAAAACTAGATAGTATATTCTTCTAATTATTATTATACTTATTATATATAACTAATATAAGCTATAGCTTAAGCTTTACGCGAGATTCATTATTATTAAAAATTAACTAATCTTATAATCTTAAAGCTTTTCTTCTAGCGTTTAATTTATTAAATTATATTTAATTAAAATCTATTAAAGCGCTATCGTATTTAAAGATTCGCTTTTAAAATATTATATAAGATAATAAAAGTCTTTCTAGTTCGTTAATTTAAGAGTAAGTCTTCTATTATTATACTTTATAGTTAGTTCTAATAATCTTTATTTAAATAGATATTTACCTTTATACGATATATAAAAAGCGAGTTACGTTATAGAAAAAGAATCTAAATCTCGCGATTATCTTAGTTAAGCCGTTTAAATTAAAAATAAGAGCGAACTTATCTTTATATAATTTAATTACTAAATTAGTTAATTATTATAAATATAATTATAAGATATAATTATATATTATTAATTACTTTAATAGTTATAAGAAGCGTAAAAGAAATAAAATTATATAATTAAGTATTTATAAACTTTTCTCTTTTAAGTATTTATTTTAATTTAGAGTTTAATCGCTATCTAATTAAAAAAAAGGTAAAATATAGAAAGTATATAAAAGTAGATTTAATAATTCTAGAACGAATTAACGATATTTATAATAATAATTAGAATTAAGAATTAGATATACTCGAATAAAAGGTAGCTTCGCGTTATTTATATAATAATAAAAGTAATAATTAAGATTAAAGTATTAACTTAGATAGCGTAACTTTCGTAATAAACTTTTTATTATTATATATTAGATTAATTACGTATTAATAAAGATTTATAATTTTATCTTTTAAGCGTAATTATATTTAATATTTTAAGATTTTTATAATAGCTTAATACTTATTAGTTAACGCGTTAATACTTTTATATTTAAGCTACGATAGAGTTTATCGTTAAATTCTATATCGCGCTTTTAAATAGCTTAAAAGATAAAGTTTATTTAATTATTAACGCGTATAATAGAATTATTCTTAATACTTATATTCTATTTAATTTCGATATTATTTATTTTCTTCTAATTCGAGCTCTTATCTTTATTTATATATATAATAATTTACGCGATAAGCGAAACTCTAGACTTCTTCGTAATTACGCTCGCGTATTTTTTTTATATAATATTATTAAAATATAAGTCTACTAGAATAATAACTAGAATTAAAAGCTATTTATTATTTATCTATTATATTTTATCTAATTTTCTTAAGAGCTTACTTCTATTTTAATTACGATATATTAATATATTTAACTTTACACTTATTACGAGCTATAGCGTAATTAATAATTAAGATATTAACTTTTTTTATTTTCTTAATTAGTTTCTTCTTAAATATAAATATATTTATTTACTATCGCGATCTCTTAATATTTTTATTTTTATTAAATTTATTCTTCGCTTTTTATTTTAATTAAAGATCTAATTATCGCTTAACTAATCTATATTAAA